ACCACGCTCCATCTTCTTTCTTTTCTCCCCAGTGGCCCAACCACAAGCATGCCCCGCCTTGTCACCCTATCCCCAACTACCACACTCCATCTTCTTTCTTTTCTCCTCAACAGCCCAACCACAGCCACGCCTTGCCCTGTCGCCTTATCCCTAGCTGCCACACTCCATCTTCTTTCTTTTCTCCCTAGAAGCCTAGCCACGTTCAATTAAACTGGTATGACTTTATTATTCAAGTTATCAACTATTTTGTTGCTGTGGTGCGTAAGGATGTTTCTGCTATAGCCATTTGTAAACCATATTAAGGATATGAATATGTAAAAATTTTTATTCTGTTGTAAACGTGCCAACCGTTCCAAGAATAACTATAAGAAGGAAGTTGAAAAATGATTTAAATACATTTTGTTCTATGACTTGTCAAGAAAGAACAAATGGGACAACAGACTATAGCTTGTGATAATATTGGGACCTTAGATCTATTCAAGTGTTTCCTTGATTAGAGACATTGAATCAAAACCAAAAATGTGTAATTAGCTGTAACAACAAAAGCATGATAACATTGAATTCAGTATGTTGCCAGGCTGTATTTATTTTTTTCAAAATTGATTCAAACATTGATTCTATTATTTTTATGTTTCTAAGTCGTTTGAAAAATGGACGCAGCCGACAAAATGTGATGATAGTGTTAATTATAATTGCAATAAAACATTCTCTTAATCATCAGCATATGTAGGGTCAAGTTCATAACAAGCACCTTTAATTGAGCCTTCTAGAACTCCTGCTAATGGCAGTCAAACTTTGATCTCACCTACTAGAAGTAAACCTCCATTGTGTAGTTCAAGTACCAAACTTCGTCACAAATTAACTTCAGAGGTTTGGAATCATTTTGAAAAGAAAAATATTGATGGGGAAGATATGGCAATTTGTAATTATTGTAAAGCTATACTTAAGGCCAATAGCAAGAATGGAACAAAAGCTTGAAAAATCACATGAATACTTGTGTAAGGAGAAAAAATTCAAGCATTGAACAATGCTTTGAAAAGCAAAAACAACTTGGCATAGCTACACAAGCTAATGGGAAATTTTTAAATTAGATATTACACATTTGATCAAGACATATCAAGACATGAGTTGGCTTGTGCTATAATCTTGCATGAGTATCTGTTTTCTATTGTTTCTCATGTTGGTTTTAAGAAGATTGTTGCTAGTCTTCAACCCTTGTTTAAAATGGTTTCTCGCAATACAATTAAAGAGGACATTCACAAGATTTATTACTCAAAGAAATCCAAGCTACAATAGGGGTTTGAAAAGTTAAAAAGTCGAATAGCCATCACGACAAATATGTGGACTTCAAATCAAAAGAAAGGTTACATGTCCGTCACTGCTCATTATATTGATGAATCTTGGGAGTTGCAAAGCTATATTTTGAGGTAAGCAATTTTTAGTTTAATGCTTTAAATTGTGTTATGTTATAGATTAATGGTTTTATGAAAAAATTGAAGCAAATTCATTAATATTATTTTGTAAACATGTAGATTTGTATATGTTCCACTTGACTGAATGGAATATAGAAAGCAAACTCTCTACTATCACTGTGGATAATTGTAGCTCCAATGATGGTATGATTTCTATCCTAGTGAATAACTTGGGTTTTGAACTTTTACTTAATGAAAGAATTCTTCACATGAGATGTTGTGCACATATATTGAACCTTGTTGCTAGAGATTGATTATCTGTGATTGACGATGTGATTGAAAATGTCCGTGATAGTGTAGTATATTGGTCAGCTAGTCCATCTAGATTGAAAAAATTTGAAAAAAGTGGCTCGTCAAGCTAAATTGTCATATTCTAAAAGGTTGAGTCTAGATTGTAAAACTAAATGGAATTCAACTTATGTGATGTTTTGGACTGCTATAGGATACAAATATCTCTTCCCTAAGTTGAAACTTAAAGACAAAGGTTACTTTTGCGTGCCTAGTGAGGAAGATTGGGAAAGAGCAAAAAATCTTACTGACAAGTTGAAAATGTTTTATGACCTCACTAATTTGTTTTCTAGGACATAGTATCCTACTATAAATTGTTTTTTTGTCAAAGTTTGTAAACTTTGAATTGTAATTGTGAATTGGATGTGCTTTGATAATGTGACAATTAGTGCCATGGCAAAGAAAATGTTTGATAAGTTTGAAAAATATTGGAAGGATATTCATATTGTGCCAGCTGTGGCTATTATATTAGATCCTGGGTATAAAATGAAGTTGGTTGAGTATTTTTTTCCTAAAATTTATGGTGGTGCTGCAAATTATAAGATTAAAGAAGTTAGGAAAACTTGTTATGATTGACTTCAAGAATACTAGAGTAGATCCATCAATCTAAAACCAAAGTCTTCTTAGAATTCATTAGCAACAACATTTGATGAATCACTTGAACTAGATGATGGTATGTTGTATGAATTTCTTAATTCTTCTACTGATGAGCATGTGAAGTCAAAATTAGACCATTATTTGGAAGACAAAGTTTTGCCATTTACTAAAACTTTTGATATTTTGAGTTGGTAGAAGACAAATAGGATAAAGTATCCCACTTTGTAAATGATTGTTAGAGATTTTCTTGCTATTCCTATTTCCACAATTGCATCTGAGTCAACCTTTAGTACTAATGGGAGAGTGGTGACTGACCATCGAAGTAGGCTTAAACCATACATTTTGGAGGCATTGATATGCACTCAAAATTAGTTGAGAAATGAAACGAAAGGTAAATAAACTCATTATATTTTTATTTCATTTGTTTTCTTTAAATAATTATCTATTATCCTAAGTGTTATATATATTCTTATTTTTTTTATCTGTGTAGGATCATATATAACAATTGAAGATTCAATTGCCACACTTGTTGACACTAACACGAAAGAAGATGATTGAATTGCTCATAAGCTTGCCTTATTGTCAATTCGTAATGTTGTTGAACTAGTTGTTTGGATATTTATTTTAGTTATTTAAGTTTACGTTGTTGTTGTTTGAATATATGCGTTTACTTATTTAAGTTTATGTTATTTGTTTAGATTTTTGTATTTAGTTATTTAAGTTTATGTTGTTATTTAGATATTTTTGTATAGTTATTTAAGTTTATATCGTTTTATGGATATTTGTTTTTAGTTATTTAATTTTATGTTTAAGATATTTGTTTTTGATTACTTAAATTTAAATTTTATTATTTTTGTTTTTATTAATTTAATTAGTAGTTAATTTTATGAAATACATAGAGAAATATTATTGTATATGTATATAGGTTCGAGTAATTGGGTACCATGAAGAAGATTTTAATAATTTTTTAATCTAATTATGTTTTTAAACTGGTTAGGGTAATTATAGGATAGTAAAAATGTAATAGGGTTAGGATTAGGGTAGTAATTTTTAAAATTATTTGATAAATTAATATGGTTAGAGTAGTTGATTTTTTATAAGGTTAGGGTTCGGGTATCTCGAAATTATAGGGTACCCTACCCGTTGACAACCTTATCAAAAAATGACATGCGCATATCTCAAGTTTTGAGGGGTGTATGTGGACTAAAATAAATATACTTTTAGATTTAGTTTTTTTGTTAAAAAATAACGTAAAATACTCTCACGTTTTTCAATTTTAATTGAAATTATAAAGGAGTTTATTAATTTTTAAAATAGACACTTCATTCTAAAAGTGTAAACATTATTAATAGAGATTATGAAAGGATTAAAATATTTTTTTATTGATTTAAAAATTATTATATATTTTTTTAAAAAAATAGAGAGCATCGTTCCAAAAACTATCATTTGGATGGAGTGCTTATTTCGAAAATTAATAGATCCATTTGAAATTTGGATTAAAACTTATGAAGTGAGAGTAATTTTACCCTAATAAATAATAATTGCATTTCAATTAGTTCTTTCATTTTTAAAGGAGCATTTTGGTCGTCAAAATTATGGTTTGGAGTTTATAACAAAGATTTATTATCAACTTTTTGAAATATAATAAACGTAATTTATTCATTGAATTACGTCACGGGTTTAAAAGTACGTAGGAAGAAAATAAAGAAAAGAAAAATAGAGGGTAATGCGGAAGAGATAAAGATGTGGGAAACAGTACACTATCGGAAACAAAGGAGAAGGTAGAAACAGTTATGAGGGTTGGATTAAGATGGAGCGTGCATAGAATAAATAAATTTTTCCAGAGGAGGAAGCACCTCGGCGAAGATGATTGTTGATGGTTTAGCAGCGGTTGGCACACCAATAGAATAAATAAATTGTAACTGGTCAGGTAAATTCATTTTCCGTTTTCCATTTTACGAAATCAGGAACAGAGAATGAGCTTGTAAGTTTTGGGGTTTATGATTCTGTACGTACTGTACTTTAGGATGCAGTCATTGTGAATATGATAAGGATAGTCATAAGTTAATTTTGTCTATAATTCGTAATTCCTTGCTTTATATGATTTTCTCAATCTTTGGCTTATTCCAAATGAATAGAGTCAGTGAGTTATTTCCATGCCCGTTTTTCCTTGGAAAGAGTTTAACGGGTATAATGTTTTTGAAGGGGGAAAAAGGTTTGCGACTGCATTCCTTATTCCTTCTTAGGGTTGATTGGAGGAAGGTTAAATGCTTGATAGTATTTTTTTTTTTTTTTTAAGATTGAACTGCCAATTTAAAGCTAATGTTGACTACTGTTTGCCGTGGGTTCTTCAAAGTCATGGGTATTAAAAGAATAATAAAACAATTAGTTAAGAGCATCTTCTTTGTTTTGCGATTTTGCATTTGATTTGGATATTTGGAGGCTTCGACAGGTTGATATCCGAAGGCAGTAGTTGCCACCGAAGTTGCCCAAGTCGACAATTTCTTTGAATTTTATTGATATTATTCTAATTGTTACTCTCTTTTAGTCCCATAATTAGTGTTTGAGTTTGCTTTTTTTTGAGTCAATTTTTCAAGTTTGACAGCCTTTTACTTGTAAATTACTAATAATTAAAATTTGAAAGCAGTACAACAAAAATTTCAAATGTATATCTGTTAAAATTTAACTTATTTAAATATTTAAACTAATTAAGATCAAAGCCGAAAAAGAAGTTTGACCATAACAAGTCAATCTAAGATAGTATTTATGGCACAGAGGGAGCACCTTATTCTTGAAAGATAAAAAAGAAGTGATGTGAAACAATTATGCTGTCGACTATATCATACTTTTTTTTGTTACTTTGGTTGGTATAGAGTTGGAGGATCTGTCAGGCGTTCAAACACTTAGGCAGTGAGAGAAGTAAAGAAGACTAAAGCAAAACTGATATGATTCTTGGGCAGTCAGTATAAGAAGATAATGAGGATGATGGTGAGGAGTGTAAATCGAAAGATGGCTATAGGATGGGCAAAAGAATCTAAGGGATGTTTATCCTCGACAATGACGAGGGCCTCTAATACCTGGAAGGACAACCAGAGCTCACAAATATTATTGTCTCCACCTCTTGTCACTCTCGACCTTCCAGACATTTGGGCTGCCAAATCCACCCACTATGATCCCCTATCAGGCCAGAAAATCTGTAAGAGTTTCACATTTAACTGTTTTGATTGCTCTCTGTTTACCTATAATCCCTCGTCTAAGGATCACTTAACTGTTATTTTACTGTCTCATTATTCTTTATGCTGCAGTTGTTCCACCAAATTTATTTCTCAAGGTTTAATTTTATCATCTGTTTTTTCTGTCAGTTGAAACAATGGTGTTTTTTTCTCTAAAATTAAGAGATTTATCGAATTTTTGAAGCTACCGAAATGAACCTTCTATATTTCTTGTTGTGCTTTTCAGTTTTTATTTTTTGGGTTTTATTTAATACAATTTTCAGTTGCAAGAGGAAGCTTGAATTGAGTTTCATATTTCATTTTGATAAGCTATGCTGCCATATCGAGCTTGTTTTTGAGTTGGTTTCCACCGACGTGGCCTTTTTTTATGGTTTAAGTTAGTTGGTCTTTTGCTTAATAAAAAACTTTCTTCCTGGCTGCTTCTGGAGAGGGATAATGCTTTACCAGTTTTGAGGGTAGTGAGAAGCCAGTGTCCCTAAATATCTGTAAAAAAAAGCTTATTCCATATATAGATTCTTTAAATATCTGAAACAACTTTGTGCTGCATTATCCACAGGGGAATCCTTCCTCCCTATTTTTATCTTAAAGAAGTGCAGGAAAGCTTGGAGGGCTAGGTTTATGATATAAATTTATCTGAAATATTGAGGAAAATATGGAAAAATTCAATAAAGAAGAGGAAAAAGGAGAGAAAAGATCCCTAAGCTTCACGCATAGGGTTCCCTTGATTGCATCAGACAATCAAGAAGAAAGAAAACCTAAGCATCAGACTTAGGGTTCCTTAGGAGTTACACTTAGGTTGATTATCAAACAATCACAATAGTGCTAATGCTGAAAATCTCATACACCTAAGGTTGATTGCATCACACAATCACAATGGCACTAATGCTGAAACTTTCTCATAATAGTCTGTCTTCCAAAAGGAAGATTACATTTATATTTATACAGGCTACTATCCTACCAACCCCAATCCTAAAAGAACTAGAACTCCAATTTCTTGTAGAAATTTAAAGAAAATTCTTAAGACTCCTATAAAAGCTAATAAACTTGACTCAGAAACAAAACCTAATAAGATAACGAAAAGCAAACAAAGATTCTAAGCCCTAATATAAATGTAAAATATCAAATGCAATCCTAGTCGTATAAAATTTTACAATTAAGCCCCATTAATACAACAAAGTAATGAAATAAAATCTTATGTAAGTTGATCCCTCAATTAGCTTCTTTGCATTCTTCATGTGCTTGATTAGTGATATTCACCACAGCCAATGTGCAGATTGCCACGGTAATTAATGGGAAGTTAATTGCAGAGGAAATCAGGTCAAGAGTAGCCTCTGAAGTAAAAAGGATGAAGGAGTGCATTGGCAAGGTTCCTGGTTTGGCAGTAATTTTGGTGGGCGAGAGAAGGGACTCACAGACTTATGTCCGTAACAAGATCAAAGCTTGTGAAGAAGCTGGAATCAAATCTGTGATGGCTGAACTTCCTAACTATTGTGCTGAAGATGATGTTATGACTGCGGTGTTAAAGTTTAATGAGGATCCATCAGTTCATGGTATTCTTGTGCAGCTTCCTCTACCAGAGGTAATTCTGCCATTGGGATCCAAATTTCACCCCTGCTTTTCCAAGCTAATGGTAAAATGCAATTGCATTAGATGCCAAGCCTAATTAATCTCAGCCACATGAATTTCTGTGATTTATAGGCCTACCATAGAAGATATAAAATTGAACTGTCAATAAACTTGAGGACCTTGAGATCACCTATTTGCAAGTACTTGTAAATCTTTGACAAATCCCATTTCCTATCAAATGGTATCCTTTTTTCCATTAAAATGCAGTGGGTGCTCCTGATATTTCAAACTGTAAGCAAGTGGCGTAAGTTTTCTGGTAAGTTAAAGGGATTTAATCTGATGCAAGTTCGTTTTCAATAGCCTAATGAATTAATTTTGTTTCAAAATATCTGCTAGGCAATATGAACTTTTCCTGGCCAGTCATCTTAATTGAGTATTTCAGAAGTTTGGTGTTTGCAGACGAGTGGCTTTGGTTGATTGTATTAGTCCTTTGAATGCTTTATAATTATTTCTTTTAGTTACTACACCATGAGGTTAATCCCAGCATGAGGCGGGATCTTTGGATTAGTCTCATATTGGGATTTTGTTTTGATTGGCCTGATATGGAGATAGTTCCTTGGTTACATCTGTATCTCATAGGTCATTTTTGACCCATGATCTCATGTGGCATTTCTTGTGACAGTGCCAAATATGACAGACAGTCAGGCCATCACACCTCACCCCTAATTATTCTAGGATGAGCTATTGTAACATCTTGGACTGCATGAGTTGCACCTCCAAGCATATAAATGGTTTAGCCTAACCTCATTGATGGTAGAATCCTCCAAGCACAGCCCTAAGATTCTCTGTCAAGTCCTTTTGGTAAGTGCTTTCTAGTCTACTGCCTGTTGCTGATACTGCTCCTGTGGATACCTCTCTCTTGGAGTACATCTCATAAGTGTTCACGACTTCTCCTGGAGGCATTACAAATCTACCTTATATGTTCTTTTTTCTCATATTTCCTAATCTGCAGCATGCTCACCATATGAATAATCATCTAATCCTCCTCTCTGCCATCTCGATTATTAAGTTAAAATGTTATCTTGAATTTTACAAGAGAATCCTCTAAACTGTTCTGCAAATGACTCGTAAAAGTCATCTGGTACAGCATTTGGATGAGGAGAAGATTTTGAATGTGCTGAGTCTGGAAAAAGATGTGGATGGCTTCCATCCAATAAATATGGGGAATCTTGCCATGAGAGGGAGGGAACCGCTGTTCATTCCCTGCACACCTAAGGGTTGCCTCGAGCTATTGATCCGATCTGGTGTGGAAATAGCGGGAAAGAAGGCAGTAGTGATTGGAAGAAGCAACATTGTGGGATTGCCCATATCTTTGCTACTGCAGGTAATAAATTGTCTTATACAGACATTTCTGTTTGTAATGTATGTTTCATAAACACATGAAGAGGTAAAAGGAAGTTGATATGAATATTTATACAAAGTACTATTTATGTGAGTGACTAAGTCTGTTCCCTGTTGTCTTTCTTTCAACTTCTGAATAACTTTTTTTTTTTCCTCTTAGAAACTCACTTCCCTTGTTCTCTCCGTTTCTCTCTCCCCAGGCAACACCTTGTCTGTTGAAATTGTGATTTTCTAGTTTCCCTCCCCATTATTATTTGCGAATATTATCTTTTCTTCATATATGTTGCGACGTAAAATTTACAAAATGGGATAAAGACACTTTTGTCATTTTGCATAAGTACCTGTGTGCTCCTAATTTTATTAGTTGTCTTTTTATTTTTCTCTTTCTTTGACATTACATTGTTTATCGTTTTCTTCATTTATTTTATCTTCCTCTCTATCCACGATATTTTTATTTATCACACAAGTAAAGGGTGCCACATACCTAGTTAACTACAATACATAAATGATAGGCAACCATTCAGAAGGGTTTGAAGGCTTCCTATATTAATAGATTTTACCAGTAACTCTGTTTATATGTGTATTATCTTTATATTCTAAAATTTAGTGAGATTATTTTATTTTAATCTTTTCAATCGGGTCCATTCTTATACATCTCCCGGGGTTAAGGACTGGTTCTTTTTAATTGTGTCCACTCTTACTATTTGACTAAGTAGGCATACTTTTCCTGAAATTGTTGGGCAGAGGCACCATGCAACTGTCAGCATAGTACATGCTTGTACAAAGAATCCTGAACAGATCACACGTGAAGCTGACCTAGTAGTCTCAGCAGCAGGGGTGCCTAGTCTGATACGTAGCAGTTGGCTAAAGCAAGGTTCAGTTGTTATTGATGTTGGGACATGTCCAATTGAGGTGATATTGCTACTCTTTCATTGCTTTGCTTGATTTTAAGTGCTTTCTGATTTCATTTCAGAAAAAGAATGGCAAAACTTTGGGAAGGTAATTTGTAATGGGAAAACTACAAAATAAAGTAGCCTCTTTTTATTTCTTACATCCCCGCTATTAATAGAGAAATGTAGGTCTGCATGTATGTCGCGACACGACTCTATTTGTCAAAAGACACTGTTCACACAACTGCCAGCCGCTCCCTAGAGTGCAACTCAGGCATGAAGCGTGTATTCCGTACCCCCCCTTCTTCTCTCTCTCTCTCTTTAAAAAGTAAGATGATTATTGCATTTCATTTTAGAGCTCAATTTATTCATGTCCAGGACCACAACACTTCTATTCGTCTGTTGATCTTAGATTCTGTATTCCAACAACTATGGTATGATCCTAAATGTGGCTTCTAAGTTCTTTCATCAATGGCAGGACCCCAGCTCTGGAGTTTGGATACCGTCTTGTCGGGATGTTTGCTATGAAGAAGCATTGAGGTTGCTTCTGCAGTTACTTCCCCCGTACCTGGAGGCGTTGGACCCATGACTATTGCCATGCTCTTGTGCAACACTCTTGATTCTGCAAAACGGTGTATGGGTTTGCTTGACTAGCGCAAGGCATGGTGCTTAGCATGTCAGGGCAAATATGTTCCATGTGCTTCATATAGGCGCTTAGCATGCTACAAGTGAATCGTTTATTCAGATATTACAGCCAAAATAGGTTAGACTTATGCATCAGCTACGCCATGTCGGCTCACAACTCCCAAGATGACTCTAGTGAATGGGAATCCTGTGCAATCAATTTGATCTGATACTAAGAAAGTCTTGCTTGCATCTATATCATGGAAGTTTGCTCATGTATGTTCTGTGGTTTTCATCTTTTATTCGCGTATCGAATATGGTCACGCACCTCGAGTGTACTATTGCGCTACAACACGCCCGGTCAGCCGCAGCTTTCCATTAAGATTCTGAGTATAATACTATCTATTCTGGTGCTATTAGAAATCAAACAAGAACATAGTTATTTCTGGATAATAAAGATAGATGTGCTTTGTTTTATATATAGATTTAAAGTACTATTATCCGAAACCGTAAAGAAATCTATTTTATACTCACGTTACACCAAGCGTGTGAATTGCTATGCGAAACGTCACAAGATCAGTAATAAACATTTGGGTAAAACAACGCAGTGGAAAGCATATTAAAGATGAAAGTATATGCTACAAATTTGTCTAGCTTTTTCGACGTCTAGACAAAAAGATGCTGGTATAGACCGCAGCAACTCAGACGGTAGATATACTCCTTTCAAGAGAATCCATTTTTTCCATGATTATTAAGGATAAATTAAGCGTATAACTATATGAAACATCAACTCTACCATAGATTTTGTTAAATTGTCACTCTTGGAATATTATAAGTATGTTATGACGAAGCATCGCATATCAGAGACATGATTACGAGTAAGCTTACTTGAAGAATAATGTGCTTATTCATCATCTAGTGCTATCCATTTTAGCAATAGCCCTATGTGAGCCACTTATGTTTCCGAGTGAATTCATACATTAAGACACTTCAATTGCAAAAGGTAAAATTACTATTTATCCTTTATATCAATTTTGTCTTTGATAAATCTATGATATAGAGTTAGTTGAGCTTAATTTTGATAGTAATTTAACTCAGTTCTTATAGTAAGTATATAAATTAGTAAATTTTATTTAATTATTTTAAATTAGTTAATTGAGGTGAGTCAATCTAATCTTAGTTAATTTTATTGTTAATTTGGTGTTAATGTGGTTAAGAGAGGTGTTATTGAATTATTTGTACATTTGTAGGTGTTAATGAAAGAAGAATTTATACTGAAAAAAGGAGAACACCACATGTGTGAGAGTCAAGCCACAAAGTCATTGAAGCTCAAAAGAATTTGAAGATTAAAGAAGATTTGAAAATCAAGAATACAATTCTTGAGTTTTTCTATCTTTTTTTTTCTCTAATTTCTTGGTTTTGTTTTAATGTTTAAACTTTATTTAATAATGGTGTGTGACTTGATGTGAAACTAATTTGTTAATCTAAGATTATGATTGAACTCAATACGCAGTTTGATTTATTTATCTCTCTTTTGCTCATGTTTTGATGGATTTAAGTTGTTTATTTTATTTTGTTCTTAATGCTTCTAGTTGCCTGACATCACCAATTAGATTGAATTGGAAAGCCTAGGTTAACCTTGATGAAGGAGATTTAGGTTGACCTTAAATAGAATAGCATATGATCGAATACATTTAGTAGATTAAGTGATTTGATTTGCATATAGGGTAGACATACATCTATAAGCCATACGTAACCAAGATTAGAGCATGAACTTAATGAATCTTTTTTTAATTTAATTTGCATAGACATATAGTAAGTTAATTGGAAGAGATATTTTTACAAGAAACTTGATAGAGACTTGTAAATATATTAGACTCTAGGTTAAGAACTAATCTATTAAACTATGTTAAGAGAGAGAGACAATAATTAGATGAAGTATTGAGGGACATCATAATCTTAGGTTGGTAGTTAAGTGAGTTTTATAAGACAAATTTAACTATTTAATTTTAGTTTCAATTATTAGTTTTAATTTTTCTTTTTTAATATATTAAATTTAATTATTTGGATAAGATTAAGGTGTTACAATTTTCGTAGTTAGCGATTAAGAATGATTTAATTCTCCCATAGGAACGAATTCTATTTACTATTATATTGCTTGCTAATGAAACATGCACTTGCATGAGAAATCATAATGTTTTTGCGTTGTTGTCGGGAATTGATTTTTAATTCTTTCTTGTTAATATAAATCAACTATAGCATTTCTTAATCTTAATTCCAATCTATGTCTAGTTCTTTGAATTTTTGAGTTGATCTAGAATTGAAGACTTTTTGAAGTTCAAAACAAACTATGAATAGTTCTCCTAGTAGTTGAAGAAAGTACAAGGTCTAAACTCAAATCAGGATCCATAACCTAACCCAACTGATCAAGTTAATGATATATCTTATCATCTAAGCACATGAGGCCTACTAAGCTCCCTCAGACATCTTACATTAGAACATATCTCTTGAAATGTTGAATTTCTCGTGCAACTTTCCTTATCAAACATTTATCTAAGTTTAGGATAATATCCAGAGCATCATTAGCCTCATTGTTGCTTTTAAAGATCTGGAGCCATACTAGCCAACATCACGCATGTGGCTTGATCGAGATCATCCATATAAACTCTATAGCCCTCTTTCCTCATTGTACATACACCGGTCCTTAGAACAGGACCATCTAGGACATAACCTTTTTCTCTTGTTCGAGAAATCTTGATTGTGAACTAGTCAATGAAATTTGGGCTTGTAACTTTATTTGCATCAAGTATATACTTATCAATGACAAACTATTCACCATGAAAGATTTATATCCTATATAAACCCACCATACATGATTATTAGTCATTAATGCAAATTAATATATCATAAAGACAAGGTTTTTAAAATCTTTTATGGTTATTTTCAATATTTTATCAATAGCAGCCTTCTTTTACTATCCGAGAAATTTAACCTTTAAACTTCTTATTGAGCTAAGACTTTTTTCATCCCACCATGACTTTGAGTAACTTAACAAGTCATAATGAAACTAATTAGGTAAGGTAACTTAGCTTACCAATTGTATCTTATATAACTCTTAGATCAGTTAGGTGACAACTCCTTGTCTAAATGTATCATATACATTATCTAACAATGCCTCCAATACTATGCGGTCTTATATGACACATCCGAACAACATGGTACTTGTTGAGTAAGACCTACCAAGAACTCAAACGTATTCGTGCAAAAGTTTGGCCTTGAGTGACTCAACAAGCCTCCAATTAAAAAAACAGCCATGTTATCTTATTATATAATGGAAGGTAACTTTTTGACTCAATATATTAATGAAGGATTTTTATTTATTAATTCATTAATTAAGATCTCATTGATTTGACGTTCTTGACATGTATAACATTTATCGTATTTCACATATATCATATATATATATATATATATATAGATAACTCTATTATATAGAGTTATTTTGAGTCATTTTGGGAGCTTAAGTAGCTAGATGATCTTTGAGATTTTAGGTTCGAATTTTAGCATTTAGGTGTTTTTTAGTTTAAGTTTGATTACTTGTTAAGTGATTAATTTAAGTTATTTTAGTTAAATTTTAGGTTATTTTATTTTAGCATCTTTTCTTTGTTTGAACATTTAATTTTTAGCCTAGACCCTTATAATAATATTTTCAACAATTCTTGCTATCCCTCATTCCTAAGTGCATAAGTCAATTTAGAAGGTGTTATAAGCCACATAGTGAAAGAGGTAGTCAAGATGAAAAAAAAATGATGAAAAGTTCAAAAATATGATTGTACTCATCTCATTGCCCAATAAAAGAAATAAGTTTGGAGGTGTGAAATTGAGAAAAAAAAAGGGAAAGAAAGAATGAAGTGTTGAACAAAAGAAAAATTTTGATGGAGAAGGGGTATACTAAGTGAAGGAAAATAAAGCTCTGAATAGCATCTAGATTGACTATGTGCTTAGGGTGATTTGAGCTATACATTATCCCATATCCAACCTTAACCCTAGCCATACATTACAAGCTAATTAAAGTCCTATTAATCTTCAACATAGTGTTAGCCTACATTAGCGGAGAGAGGAATGAAAAGCAAACTTATGGAGTTAATTACTAATTTGAATTTTGCATGAATATAAATTATCCAGATTGTACAATATTCTAAGTGAAGAGATTACACACATACACGGAATTTCACTTAATGATGAGTTTGCATTTGAATTGAGACATGAACTTGAATAATATCTATGTGTTGCCTAGAGTTATGGATATGGATTAACTATTGAGGATATTAAAGGTAATTAATGAAATGGTGCAATTGAAGTCTAGTTAAATGTTTTCATGTTTACGTTATTGCATGTTGTTTTATGTTTTGCTCGAGGACTAGCAAAATCTTAAGTTTGGGGGTGTGATAATTCTATTATATAGAGTTATTTTGAGTCATTTTGGGAGCTTAAGTAGCTAGATCTTTGAAATTTTAGGTTCAAATTTTAGCATTTTAGGTGTTTTTTTAGTTTAAGTTTGATTACTTGTTAAGTGATTAATTTAAGTTATTTTAATTAAATTTTAGGTTATTTTATTTTAAATTACTTTAAGAGTAGTTATTGCTAATTTCTCTTATGGCTTTTGTAGGAAATTGATGAAAAAGACTCATTTGATGAAAATCAGTGCAAGTATGGTGATAGCTTCATTCGTATATGTTTCAGTATTTTGACCATATCTCTTTCTAAAACATCCAAATGAGGTGATTTCTTAGACCAATCGAATTATAAGAAGAAGGGATACAATGTTTATGTTCACCATTTGCCCAGTTCTGATTGGATCATGGTCAAAATATTTGTCAAAGTCGGACCACTGCAGCAGTATGTAAACTCTGAACATGATGCGTATTCGGAGCAAATCTTTCAATCCAGAAGTCCAATTGATATGATTCTTAATTCATTGGAAAGTTAAGAGACAGGGATAAAACTTTTATGTTTACTACTTTGCCCAGTTCTTAACATATTAGG